CTTTTGGTTTTGTGGACAGAATTTCTTACTTTTTACTATGACGGTTATCTGTTCCAGACAGCTCTGGCAGCTTGGAGAGCCACGGGTTTGACGCAGCCAATATGTGAGAGTCGCCGAAAGCCCGCAAAGTTTTGTGCAGTTAAAGACATGCTGAACAAGTCTTATGATGTTCACATAAGAACAATATCCCATTATGTCAAATATTTGTTTGAGCGAAGTGTAATGAGATGCACATTGTTTTTAACACATTCTGTGGTTCTCACACTTTATGCATAGCTTTCGAGTTGTTTTTGTAAACTAATATTTATTCACATGCATGAAACGAGATATTTCAGTCAGAATTTAAACAGTCTACAGGAAACAGGTCTACAAAATGCTTTTTGTTGCATTTTGCGTTTTACTTTTTGTGCATGGAAGCATCCCACTTTGTCGGGAGATTGTCATTTTTGGATTGTTGGACTGTTCTAACGAGTGATTGGAGAGTATTGACCACTTGGTAACAGGCAAAAGAGAATGGGTTGTGGTGATTGACTTTAAACATAACTGCCTTGTTAGTTTTAATATAACCGAGCTTTTGTTGCCTTTCCCGAATTTGCAACGTATTGACGTGAGACAACCCCACACTTGACTGCTGGCTGCTTCGAGAGTCAAGGATTGGAATTAGAAGTGATTGTATATTGGGACTATCAGCTTCCCGAACAAGATTGTCATTTTCAACGACCGCAGTTACGCCATCGGACTTGACTACATCAAATTATTTTTCCTTGCCCGGAATCCCACCTCTGACCATAATCCCGACCCCGACCTTAATTTCAGACTCAACCCGGACCCCAATCCTAATTCCGTTTGCGACCCCCACCGGTACCTTGGCCCCAGACCCGGTGTCCCAGGATTTTCGCCCTCCTACATTTTCGCCCTTTGGGAACGTTATTTCAAGCCCTGCATGTAAGAATACAAATTTACAATTACATGTATCAAAACAGCTTTACACAGTTACAGTAGATCAATACTCAATAGGACTTATGACGCTTCACAGCACACCATGCATATTTTGCATTTTCAGTGTTAATCCTTAAACTCATTGTTAAAAAGTAATCACCGTGGTGGTTATTGTAATTATTGGTATTGTTTTGGACCCACGTTTTGTCGTTATCGGAAAATGTATGGTTTGTCACTATTTTTTACTTGCATTATTTCAATATAGTTTGTAAATCTCAGAAGCGATGGGTAGAACTTGCCAATAGGCAATAATCCAATAATATATGTTTCAAAAAAGACAAGAAAGCTTTTAGTTTTGCAGAGTTACATTCTCAAATGTTTAAGGCATGCACTAATAAAATCAAAGTATCATTAAATTATTTGAATAAACCACACCACATATATAATGCAATTTTCTTTGCAGAAGTGAAGAATCAAGATTACATTACTGACACGGAAAGTTGACGAGACAATAGTCAATACACTTCCCAACACATTCCATAGATTTTTACTAATCCAGTAATCCTATAGTTTATTGTTAGCAAGTGATTACTGTGGCAGCTATTGTTTAACACTCATATTGATAAAATTTGCAAGCGATTGTTTTTATAATATGTTATGTGAATGTAAACTGCCAGAAGAATACGACAACATGATTTTATGCAATCTCTGCGATGGTTCCACTTTAGATGTGTAGAATATGACACTAGTCTAAGTACCTCAAAATGAGTGGTTATGCAGACTGTGCACACCACCAGCTGCTAAGAAGCCTAAAATGTGTATGTAATTTTGTCTCCTTGTAATAAATAATAAATCACACAATAAATCTTTTCAACTTTCAATCGTTTTAATTTTAGATAAAAAATTCCAAATTTATATGGGGGCGAAATTCCTAAAGGGGGGCGATATTCCTAGGAAATTCGCCCCCCTTTTGAGAGTCTCCTGAGGGGGTGAATCGCCTGTGACACCGGCCCAAAATTTTAACCCACACCAGGACTCCAATTTCAGACCCATTCCAGATCTTAACCGCAGTCACGACCCCCACCAGTAGACTAGTTCCGAATAACTCGTGACAGGCCTTACTTTCTATCACAACCCATACCAAAATTCTAATTTTGAACTCACTCCGTACCCTAACCACCATCGCAACTCTTACCGGTACCCTAGTTCGAGACATGTTCCAAACCTTACTTCCTATCACGGTCCCCACCAGAACCACGATTTCGGATTCACCCCGTACCCTAACCACCACCCCAGCCCTAACCCCAATCGCAAATACTGCTACGACTTTGGTTTCCAACCCACCCAGAGTCCCGACACCGGCCCCAGTCACAACCCGGACTCAATACCACGTATACTTGATTGTTGGATCAACAGTTGGGATACTATTGATGCTTCTGGGGTTATATGGAAGGTATAGCCTCTGGAACAAAATGCATCGGCAAGGGAGGTTTGTTCTTCGTGAACAGCGGCCTTGCCAAGTTGAACTGCTATCTTTAGGGCAAATACCAAGTAGTGAAAACGCTGGAACATTAACCCACACTGTACTGTGAATATAAATATTTATACAAGTATGTTTGTTTTATATAATTATAGATTTTCACCATTAAAATTTGCTACGTTTTTAGTATTAAGAATGTGTATTTTGTTTTCACGATGATGAAGTGAATTTTCATAGTATAAACACCGTTTTATTTAGGGTTTATACGTACTGTGAAATGAATAGTATAGGACTAGCGGTAATTTTATATTAGATGTACATTAGTGCATTAATACTACAAATAGTTTCATCAAAGTGAAAACAGACTTTGCTTTGGTGTAAACTGACATTTGCCGGCTGAAAACAAGTACATGTTATGTTAAATAACTATTAGGAATATGATCTTCCCCCATGAAATGGATCGAAAAATGATAGCTTAGGGTAAACTATCATATTAGCAGATATAGTGTACACAAAAATGTTATTAATATCTCATGAGTCATGGGGTTATTATAAATTAATTTAACCAGAAGTTGTTTGCGAACTCTAAAAAACACGCCCCCATTTACAAAACAAAATATTAATTTGTGAAACACTGTCAGCAGATATAAAGCAAATAAACTATCCACAAGACTGTAGTGTACTTTCAGTATTCTTTCAGATATTTATTTCTTTAATATTCTTTCATAAATTTCAACTAATAATAACACGCCACAAGCTTAGATATCACCCCAGTGTCGCAATGTTGTTGATATCCGGCCGTAAGTGCTAGGCCCCTCCGCCTCAGTCGTGACGTCACTTCCGGTTGATGACGTCACTTCAGGTCTAGAGAAACAAGAGGAGTGGATAGAAAAATGATTAAGTGAATTTTAGAAGCGGCTATTTTGAAACACAAATAGTGACGTCACTTCCGGGGCTTGGCGGAAGGGGTGGAGACAGGAAGTGGCCTGTGATTGGCTAATATAGGCTCCGCCCAAGGGGAGGAGCCTAAGTCTATATAAGGTGTGGCTGTAATATGATCCAGTCAGTTGACGCTAGCTGTCGTCGAGGAAGGAGCTCCGTGTACTAATGGAAAGATAAGATTAAAGAGTTAAGTTTACAACAGTTTGAACAACTCGCAGCAGCCATACTAAAAAGACAAGAGCAAATAAAGAAAGAAAATGACGCAGCCGTGGCTTCTATACAAACAGAACCTGGAATCGTTACAAGAACTATCAGTATTCAAGAAGGAAGCCAGTGGGTGCAAGATGTCGAGACCAAGAGAGATAGTCCTCGAAGCATGCAACAAGAGTTGTCAACAGATGTGGAAACAAATGGGGACGAAGGGAACGTGCTCTCACTTGCAGAACAACAGCAAGAATTTTACGAGGATGCTCAGGACCCCGATGCGGACGATGATACCGGCGACGGCGACAAAGAGATTAATTCAAAAGAAAACAGCACAGGCAGGGATGACAGTGTTGATGGACCAACTGATAACGGGCAGAGTGATGCCATTGACGAAGCAAACGAGGAGATTGAAAGAGAGCAAGAGACGGGAAATACTATCGATGCTGGAGAGGATGAAGATTGTGGAGGTGATAGCGGGGATGACGAAGCCGTCGCAGCAGTTACCGACGATCAACCTAAGTCAGATAATGTATCCAGGGAGTCCGCAGCAGACAAAGACAGACCTTACACAGTGAAATATTTCAAGACGGCAAGAGACATTGATTTTAAACAATGCACAGTATACGGATATGTATTCAATGAAGAAATGGGAGACACTTATAACAGATTGTGGAAAGAAGTAAAGAACGGACATCACAAAAAAGTCGTCATGATAGCTAACTCAATACATGCTGATGCACCGTGTGGATGGCTATTTAAAGACGCAAAGACACATTGGCATATCATCGTGTGGTTTGAACACTCGAAGCCTACAGATACAAGTTTCCATCGTAGTCTACTCATAGATATGGACATAAAAGGAAAGAATTGGGACGGAGAGATCAGAAGAACGGAGAGATCATAAGAAATCCAGATAGTATCAGCCGTTACATACAAGTAGAGCCACAAGTGTTAGTTACGTTGTACGGACCAGTGTCATGGAAAAAATATATCAATGAAATGTGGTTCAGCCAAGCAATGATGAAGCGAAAGATCGAAGTACAAGACGAGATCAACAACAAGCCAAAGAAAGCGAAATTCGAAGACGGTGACTGGTACAAACAAACGGAACAAATCCACAACGGCTATGTGATGAAATCATGAGTTGGAGATGTCGAGAGTTATATACTCTACATGAAAAAGAAACATCCGGAATGAAGCTATGGAAGTTTTATCTATCATCCGAGACGAGACGTACTCGAAAGACAACTAAACGACGAGTTAAAACGAAGCTACTCGGTATGGACATTCTGGGAGTGCTTAGAAAACCGACGTGAAATGATTGAAGAAATTGACAACGAGGGCTTAGAATACGCACCAGACGAAAGCATCGGATTTTTAAAGATTATCTGCAAGAAACACGCAATAAACTTTGATAAATTTGTAAACAACATGTTGGATTGGATAGACGAGAAACACCAAAAGAAAAATTGCTTATACTTCTACGGGCCAAGCAATGCAATGAAAAGTATGATAGCGAACAGTATAAAAAAATGCGGTTCCAGTCGTAGGGCAAGCAGTGACGAGTTCTGAATTCATGTTTGGAAATTGTGTTAATTGTAACATAATTTACGGAGAAGAAACACACGTAACTCAAGAAGTCGTCTGCGAGATTAAACGAATGTGGGAAGGGGCAGAGGTAATGCTAAATATCAAATGCAAAGAAGGCACAATGTGGAGACGAAAACCTATCCTATGCTGCAGCAACTATCGTCCGTGGCAATTTGTACCAAGAGAGAAACAAACACTGCTAAATCGTGCCTACTATTACGAATTAGGAGTGCACAAGGGGTTTGAGAAGATTACTAAAGGATTCTCTCCACTTATGTGGGCAGAACTTAGAAAAATATATAGAAGAGAGACATCATTAGAAGACAAAATTAGCAAAGAGAACAATAGTTTCTTTTTTTTAAACATTTACAATTAATATAATCCATGATTGTATCATAGATTTGAGTAATAAACGGATTACAGTTTGATTCTATCTCAGCTTGTTCATTTATTTCTTGCTGTGGCGACGTCCGCTCAAGAGGGGCATCAGTAAACGGCGACTTGTACTCTGTACGACCAAGGAAAGCAGGGAACTGATTGTCAGTAAGGTGGGGGGACTATGCCCTTATACAAGGTAGGACCAAAACGACTATTAGCACTCTGTTGAATACCAAAATTGGACTCATAAACACCAGGACTGGTACGATGACCCCACATGTTAGAACCACACCAGCCAGCCATAACATTACCAAGATCGAGAGGAGAATATCCCATGATATTAGGCTTAAACTCGAATACTCGGCTAGAAACTTCCACGTCACAGTACCAGTATCTTCAGGAATGGGCTCTGCCTTAAATAATACACGGGGGGGGGGGGCTTAGATACAGTGTTCAATCCAGACATCATACCCTTTGACCAATTTAAACACGTCAAAAACCGGTTAACCACATTTTGATCGGTACGATCATAAGCTTGAGAACCGCCGAACGTGATATTACCCGACGCCACAGCGTAATTATTAACACCATGCTCTTTATCCACTGAATTACACGGCACAGTTTCAGAATACTGATAACAATTGGCGATGAGATTACCACTCTCTTTATGTCGATATCCCATTGGCAGGGCCTGAACACAATTACCACCATACACGATATTAGGTGAATACAAATATGTTTGCATACCAGACATCCAAGACTCTAAAGCACCAAGAGCACACCATCATTATTAGCCTTAAAATAATTAGCAGCAGCACCAACTTCATGATTCGTAAGATAGGGCATAGCAGCATGTATCCAACCATGATCTTCAGCATCCCACTTAAAATTAAAATCCTCCGTCTGTTTGATAAGTTGGATAGCAGGATGCAAAAAAGGGTTGGTATTCATCGGCTGAATTTCAAGAGCATTCACTCCAGTTTTATAAGCCATCTGCGGCTCACAATTGATTGCCCAATTGTTCAACTCAGGGGTGCCAAACAAACCATTGAAACCACTGTCATAGATACACTCATTAACGTTATAGCCGGGAAATAGATAATCATGGTCCACAACAGAATAAAACCACAAGTTCGGCGTAGACTGAACCTGGTTAATGTTCTGCTTCGTAGTAACAATATACGGCGGGAAAGCAAAACACCTAACACCAACTGACTTGATTTTAAAACCAGAACATAACTGCATATGTCCCATATACTCTCAAGGCATAATACTCTTCGTAAATGCTTGAGCGACGGGTGACACATTCCAATCATTAACTAAAGAAAGACCACTCAAAGGCACCATAGTAGTAACAGCAGCTTCTTGTGTAAACTGATGAGAATACAACCGTTTAAACTCAATAGTATAATAATTCGTACGGCAACGAGATTGTAATGTAGTGGTATTACCACCAAGAATATCACCGCCGCCACCAGAACTACCAACAGATATTTCCAGATTCAGTAGGCGGCAGAACGGATTCGTAAACAGTTTCTTTACCTTGAAAACTGGTCGATACGAGATCAGTAGTCTCTCCAACTTGTGACTCTTCACCGACAAGTTCCTTATAATATTTATCAGGATTATTATATAACCGACCAAACTGTCCTTCAAGGATATTTACGCCGAGTTTATGAGTGAGATTAGTGATGATAGCAGAGAAAGTAGCCCAACCAACTCTAGTAACAGCTTGTAGAGCGGCAGGACCTCTGAGAGGAGCTGATCCATAATGACAAAAAAGCAAGCGCTCATCTCTTTTTGTGATATGAGAGAAAGGTAGTAATCAACCAAACCAGGATAGCTAGTAATTTTGCCCTTTCGCTGACGTCGGCGAAAAGTTGGGTATCAAATTCACTTCCTCGAGAAAAATTGTTGTCATGGCAGCAATTGTGCTTCGAAGAAGAAATAATAATTTTTTTTGCGAAAATTGAAAATACATTTCGGCCAAATTTAATGTATTCTGAACAAAACTGATGTAATATTGCATTTTGGCTAGTTTTTCCATGTGGTAAAGCAGGTTTTGTAAGTGTTTTTTCTACTTGGAGTGCCTTGGTTCATACATTCAACAAGTAAACAGTAGGTTTTTAAATTTTAAAGCTACAAAATACATTTAAAGTATAGTTTTAACAGTGCATTTTGTAGTCAAGTATTAAATGATACTTTAACATATTTCTATTGATAATTTTTTTAAACTTTTGCACAGTATTAATAAATATTAGCTGTAGATAGTCTGTAAAATATTAACTGTAAATACTTCCTTATATTTAAATAAGATTTATTGTAAACAGCTAATTTCTGCAGGGGCAGATTCAGACAGGTTTATATAAACCTGTTAGATTTTCCAAAGAAAGAAAATCTATAACCTTCCATGTACATATATAAATAATTTTAAAAACATTGTTTCATAAACTTGATGTTGTCTAATCTATTATGCCATTTAAATACTCTTATTGAAATTTGATTCTGGATTACCGAAAGTAATTAGACCCACTTACATAATAAACATTTAATTAATTAATTAAGGACTTATCGCATTGGTTTCCTCTTACAAAATCTTGTAATACTAGACAAATATTCTGCTAATGTATCATCGTGGGTCGTGGACTGAAACATCGCATGAATCACACATAATTATAAGTAAACCGGTGGTCAGAGTTTTCTCAATGAGAGATGTAAACCAGTCATAAACCTGTGAGTCCAGCAGTATTTAGAGAAAACTGGGAATGAAAGTTAACAGAACTCGAGGACGTGCGAAATATGTTTATAATTTTATGTGACTGAAAATTGCGTTGGTGATAGAAGCATTTACATGGATTTCTTGTTCATTTTGAAGGTTTGTTTAAAAGTATATAGTCTGAAGTTATAAGTGTAAACTATTTCTACTTACTGTATTATAAATATCGATCCGTCAACAAGCGTATCGATGTTTATACTTGTATCTTCTACACAGTCTGCACTCATGATAGCATGAAATATGTGTATAATATTGTGTGACCGAATCATTGTGGTAATGATAGAGAATCAGGAAATAATTGTAAAGCTTTCACGCTCTTGCAGTTTGGTTTCTATTTCATTGTTAAAGCAGTTGGTTTGAAAGCTTATAGATATAAAATTACAACTATGCTTATATTAAAAGCATCTCTACTTGTTGTACTTATAGTAAATATTGATGCGTCCGCAATTTGCCAATCCTATATTTTTATCACCAGCTAATAAATTTCCGAAAAGGTTCAATTCATTGTTTCAGCTGCGTATTTTAGTCCAAAATTCTCTTTAAAACATGTATTTTCTAGCCATTAAGTTAATTTAAAAGGTGACGCCAGAACGCAGGAAATGCTGTTTCAGATGCCCTAGTAAACCTGTCATCGAAAACACTGGATCTGCCCCTGTTCTGAATAATTGTAGGCCATGTTGTAGTAGTTTTAAATTCAATTGGTATTGTTATACTAGGTGTCCCAAAAAAAACTTGCGGTGTTTGATTTCATGTAAGATAAAAACTATAAAAGCTCACTCAAACAAGTTTTATTGTATTGAGGAAAGGCTAACTTAGATTTTGATACACAGCCCTAAAAATTTCATGCAATATTACGTGAGATACAAACGTTTGAATGTGGCACATGCTTTAAAAATGAGCAAAAAAATCGAGAAACATGGCTGATCGAATTTATGTGAAAACAAATTGCCATTTTCCACAAAAATTAACAATTTCAGCATTTCAACTCAACTTTCATTTTGGGTAATGTCCTAGTGTAAGTTAACCTTTCTTGTTTCTTAGGAAGCAAAATAAGCATGAAACATTTAAAAACGTATAACTAATTGTCAATGGTATAACTTGGTGGCAAAATCCAATAGTCTTTAATCCTTGCAATTGCTCTTTCCACATGCACACGTACAGATGCAATCTTTCTGCTTGCGCTTTGCTTTTCTAATGTCAGCTGATCATCTCCATTCAGGAATGCCCGAATGTTCAGCATCACTCCAGGACATAAGTCATCTGTAATATCAAATCCCCTGTCTGCCATAACCTGGTCACCCTCTTCCAAGAGATCAAGAATTCCACAATCTTTTGTAATTTTCTTGTCACTAGTTTGTCCTACATAGACTGGATACAATGCTTGGACATATTCCTAGCAAAGCTTTGGCCGTGTTGTGTTTCTTGTAATTTGAAAAGGTTACAGATTGACTTTGACAAGAGGATGGAGTTTCTATTAAAAACTCTGTACAAGCGATTATCACTCGGGTTTTTGGAAAGGCATATCTAAAACAGGTAGGCATGTTGGCATCTACAAATTCTTTATTTGGCCAAATAGGCAGGGCTCTGAGGCATTGGTGCAAAAATGTTATCCAAGTATGGTATGGTGACATACCATATCTATGAGCTAAATCTTGTCCAAGAAAACCACAACACAATCTTGAGAGCACCATAAATAGTTCTTCTTCTGGAGGAAAAGCTCATGATTTTACCATGTTTCTTTTGTGTATCCGAGAGGATGGGAACTGTTGTTGATCCATGATAATAAGGTGATGACATTGAAGAATGCTTTAAAAGTGGCATAGTCTGGAAATCCAGTGTAGAATCTGAAATCAATGTCACTGCCAATAAATCGCTCTGATCTAACGACACATTGTCGCATGGCTTCCATATTGATATTGTATTTTGTCTGAAGCTGTTTATGTTTTTGTTTAAAGCCTAATAAAACACTTTAACTCTTTCTCGACAGGCTGGTTTTGCATTACATTTCGATTAAATTTTTCTAATATAAATATCTCGGCGAGTATTTACCCCCCTTTTAAATAAATGCCACCATTGAAATCCTCACAATATAACCTTTCGAATGGGGGTCAAGTGCCGTCAAAACATTACACAAACCGAAACAATCATATATTTACTCACCGGTTGGCCAAAGATTCTAAATTTTATATCCACCAAATCTTGAATATCTCTTGAACTTTTCGTCATTTGCTGAACGGCTATATGTGTAAAATACTCTCTGTATTCAAGCGCTTTCGTGTACAAAATTTCGTTTGAATACGGCGAGTAGAAATATTTATTTTGAATTTTTCAAGATGTCGGGTTTTACTTGCACTTGCGTACATTGCGCAATAATTGGCCAATAAGAAGCTCCTGTGGCCGGGATGACGTCAAACTCACATGTGTAGGTGCAATTTGACCTTGCGAATCCATTTCTGGCCTTTCCAGGGTCATAAGATACAAGCTTCGCATTGGTTTGACGGTTTTCAGTCGTATTTCCGGTTGGGATTAACTCACTTCGAGCTCACAGTCGGACAAGAACTGGAAATATATTGATAAAAGATAAAGATTTCAAGATACAAGGCTTGCAAGTAACACTCTAAATAATGTTTTTGACGGGGATTCAAACAAGACTATTACAAAGACGATATGTTCGATGGGGCTGAAGTTATTTTCGGCGAAAGGTATGGCTAGTCTATATTTTTGTTAGACAATTGCATAATTTGATACAATATGATCGTTTTGACTTTCAAAGGCCCATAAATCGTTACAATACTAATGACTATAACTATCGTTTGGAACTAGTTGATATTTTATTTCTGAATCGAATGGTGGTATTTCTGTCTTCATAGCATGCACTGAACCGAAGGTATGAAATTTCTAGCCGTCGATCGCTCCCCATTGATGCGAATAGGGCCTGTAGAGAAAGAGTTAAACCTAAGAAAACACTCCTGCTCGTTTATTAAACAGTACTTTAATACTTGACTACAAAATGCACCGTTAAAACTATTACTTTAAATGTACTTTATAGCCTTAAAATTTTAAAAACCAACTGTTTACTTGTTGAATGTATGAACCAAGGCACTCCAAGTGGAAAAAATAGGTACGCGACGCATACATGTATCTGCGAAAAAACTTGATTCACATTTTGTATTTTCTTGAAAGGAACTGATTCACTGAATAACAAAGATGACATGGGACAATTTAAATATTTCATCACTTATTAAAATAAATATAATAGCAAATAAGATTTTAAAGTGAAACATAATACACATCTAACAGGGCTATACACAGTGGGGAAGGGAACAGAGGCAACTGCCCCTTTCCCCGCCAAGAAAATATAACTAATTTTATTAATGTGATTATAATTGTAAGAGATAATTATGCAGTCAGGAAATAAAAATTTCATGCAAACAATATTTAAAGTGTCTGTACAGCCGGCTATTTAGTA